TGCTCATAGTTCGAGTGTTAAGTAGCTGACAGCATTGTCTAACTACTGTAATTATCGCTCTGCTCGTTTCGCTGCCGGCTTCTCTGTAGTTGCTGGGCAGCAACGTGATTAGGGTGGGGTGATCACACCTCACCTGGAGGAGAGAGTGCCTGGCCTGCACTCTCTCTTGTCTGTTTGATGTTGCTTCCAACAAGACGTGCCTCTCCAGCTATTCCTTGCTGGCCCTTGCTGGAAGATCGTCTCTGTCGCTTTCTTGTTGTTGGTTCTGCGTAACTCTGTTGACAGAACATAGCCTAGACTTAGTGATTTTCGACGTTGTACTGAGGTTGTGTCGCATAAACACTCTGAGCAACTCAGGTCCTGAGCTGTAGCTTCTGACCTAACTTGTACTGGTATCTGTGTACTGTCACAGTCGGGGATTTTCTAATGCTGAACATAGATTCAGTAGTATGGGAGTTTTGTGACTTTTGTGGAGGATCTGCAGATGGTCCCTACTTAGTGTCGTTATATTATCTCCTTGATCCTGATTGTGTCGCTGCTGCTTGTTATATTGCTTTTCGGCTTATCAGTCACTTTATTGTTTAAGCAAGCTGTTCTGATTGCCAGTTTGGTCAAGAAGTTAGTTTATGTGAGGACTTTTAGTCAGTCACTGGTTAAATCTAGTCGAGTCTTGAGACATAGCGAACTACTTAGAGCACTTACACACACACACACACACACACACACACACACACACACACACACACACACTTGTATATATTTGTATTATGTTATTAAATGCTAACAATGTACCAGACGGTACTTAAAAGCCATAAAGATGTGAAATGTGCCTTCAGCACAATACTACTGTACACGAGAGAAGTGTAGCAACTTGTATCCTATATTATATTCAATTGATTACTTTAATTTACTATGATCTTATACACCTATACAACTTTATTGTTATTAATAAACTTATTAAAATGTTAATTTCTCTAGTTAGTAGCCTACCAGTTGTAATCCTGAAGCACTATTGAATCTTACTAAATTCTAATGGATAATTGGACCAGGATACTGACTAATTGTTACAAAAACCCAGTAACAGGCTGGATGCTAGAAGGGCATCCTTTCTAGTATTACCTGGAGATCTCTATCATTATTAGAAATCGCGTTTTTTTGTAACACCTCGTCTTAAAGCTATGTATGGTTCTGCCTCTACTACATCACTTGCTAGGCTATTTCACTTCCTGACGACCCTGTGACTGAAGAAGTACTTCCTAACATCCCTGTGACTCGTCCAAGTCTTCAACTTCCAATTGTGACCCCTTGTTTCTGTGTCCCATCTCTGGAACATCCTGTCTCTGTCCACCTTGTCTATTCCACGCATAATTTTGTATGTTGCTATCATGTCTCCCCTGACCTCCTGTCCTCCATTGTCGTCAGTCCGATTTCTCTCACCCTTTCTTCGTAGGACATTTTCCTGAGCTCCAGAACTAGCCTTGTTGCAAACCTTTGTACTTTCTCTAATTTCTTGACATGTTTGACCAGGTGTGGGTTCCAAACAGGTGCTGCATACTCCAGTATGGGCCTGACGTATTGGAACGCTATTCTCAGGTGTATGTATGTGTATGTGTGTGTACTCACCTAACTGTATTCACCTAATTTTGGTTGCAGGGGTCGAGACTCAGCTCCTGGCCCTGCCTCTTCACTGGTCGCTACTAGGTCCTCTCTCTCCCCCTGCTCCATGAGCTTTATCATACCTCGTCTTAAAACTATGAATGGTTCCTGCCTCCACTACATCACTTGACAGACTATTCCACTTCCTGATAACTCTATGACTGAAGAAATACTTCCTAACATCCCTTTGACTCATCTGTGTCTTCAGCTTCCAATTGTGACCCTTTGTTTCTGTGTCCCATCTCTGAATATCCTGTGTCTGTCCACCTTATCTATTCCTATTAGTATTTTATATGTCATTTTCATGTCTCCCTTCACCCTCCTGTCCTCCAGTGTCGTCAGGTCGATTTTCCTTGGCCTTTCTTCTTAGGACATTCCCCTTAGCTTTGGAGCTAGACTTGTTGCAAACCTTTGCACTTTCTCTAATTTCCTGACTTACTTTACCAGGTGTGGGTTCCAAACTGGTGCTGCATACTCCAATTTGGGTCTGACGTACACAGTGTACTGTCTTGGACGATTCCTGAGATATCAGAACGTTATTCTCAGGTTTGCCAGGCGCTCATATGCTGCACCAGAATCTTGTTGATGTGTGCTTCCAGAGACGTGCTCGGATTATACTCACACCAAGATCTTTCTCCTTGAGTGAGGTGTGTAATCTTGTGCCACCTAGCCTATACTCTGTTTGCAGTCTATACTGCCCTTCCCCGATCTTCATGACTTTGCATTTGGCGGGGTTAAATTCTAGGAGCCAGTTGCTGGACTCACGTGTCCAGCATGTCCAGGTCTCTTTGTAGTCCTGCCTGATCCTCATCTGACTTAATTCTCCTCATTAACTCCACATCTGTGAACAGGGACACTTCCAAGTTTATCCCTTCCATCAGTCATTCACATATACGAAAAATAGCACTGGTCTTAGACTGATCCCTGTGGGACCCTGCTCGTCACAGGCGCCCACTGTGATACCTCGTCACATACCATGACTCATTTTTACCTCCCTGTCAGGTATTCTCTTATCCATTGCAGTGCCCTTCCTGTTTTACGTGCCTGATCCTCTAGCTTCAAGAACCCTCGGTCCCACCGTCTTTGAGGTATCAAGGTCATTTAGCAGCTTCTTCACCTCCTCCTCTGTTGTGTGTATCTCAACCAACACTTTTTGGTATATCCCTTGTTGGTGTACCCTCTGCTCTGTCTTCCCAGAGTCCTTTCTGTCTCCACTGTAAATACTTCCTTAAATCTCGTGTTGAGCTCCTCACATACTTCTTGGTAGTTTCTTGTGAGCTCTCCGCCTTCTTTCCTCAGTCTGATTACTTGGTCCTTGACAGTTTCGGGCCAGACTTGACTTTCGATGCTATGTTGTTTTCGTACTGTCGTTGGGCCTCCCTCCTTATCTGTGCATACTCGTTTCTGGCTCTTCGACTAATCTCTATTTTCATGGGTCCTTTGCCTTCTGTACTTTTTCCATTCCATAGTGCACTTAGTTTTTGCCTCCCTACACCTTCGAGCAAACCAAGGGCTCGTTCTCGTCTTCCCATTATTTCTGTTGGCCTCGGGAACAAACCTTCCCTCTGCTTCCTTGCATTTTGTTGTTACATAGTCCATTTCGTTTACTGACTTTCCTACCAATTCTCTTTCCCACTGAACCCCCTGCAGGAAGTTCCTCATACTTGTGTAGTCCTCCCTTTTGTAGTTTGGCTTTTCCCATTCTACTCCTGTTACCCTTTCCACTTGTAACTCTATGTATTCAAAGCTCAAAACCATGTGATCACTAGCTCCAATGGGCCTTTCCTATGTGATATTCTCAATGTCCAAACTACTCAGGGTGAACACAAGTGGGAGTGGAAGCCCTGGAGGGGGCCTATGTGATGAAGGGGTGGGAGTCAGAGGGTACAGTGTGGGGTTTTGGTTCAGATTGTTTGGGCGGATCTGGAGGAGACTGTGCTTGCTCTTCCACCTGGGTCTGGATTCTCCTGCTCATCTTCGTTATTGCCTCTTTGCATCTTTGTACCCACTCTTTCAGTATCCTCCTTTCTTCTTGTGTTCTGTCTTGGTTGAGGTACACTCTCTGGTAATCCAGTTTGTCCCTTAGTCATGCTTTCTCCTGCCGGATCCTCTTTCGAGCTGATTCTTCCTTGAAAATCACTTTGACTGGCCGTTTTTTTCCTCTTGCAAACCAACCAGTTCTCCAAAAATTTGTCAACTGGGTCATGTCATCCTCTCCTATTACTTTCCTGATATTTTCAATCAGTTTTTTCTCCTCCTGTTCTCTTGTTTCAAAAGTTTCCCCTTCCACTTCCTGGAGCCTATAGACAAAAACTAACCTCTCCTTTCATCCTCCTACTGTATTTCCCTTTGCATCCCCTGAGACAATTTAGTTCTTTTCATTGAAGCATTCCTTCCTTCAATCTCTTCCCTAGCTGATGTCCGTGTTCTCAGTGGTCTGTCTTTTTTCCTGCTCATCTGTTCCTGGGCACTACAGTTGTCTGTTAAAACCTTTGCATATGGTTTAGCTACTTCATTGTGTTTAGTCCTCTCATTTGTTCTTTATGTGCTCCTCGTCTTTTCCCGAGCCCCATTGGGTCTGATAGGGCCTTCGCATACAGCATAGCTCCTTTGCTCCCTACAGTCCTCTCATCAGTGACTGATGTAGCAGTTCCTGTACTGTCCTTTGGTTCTTTACGCTGTTTCAGAGTTTTTTAGCTCCTCTTCCAAGCTCTGTACCTTAGCTTCTGCTGCTATGGCTTGTGTGTGTGTGTGTGTGTGTGTTTGTGTGTGTTTGTGTGTTGTGTGTTTTGTGTGTTGTGTGTGTGTGTGTGTGTGTGTGTGTGTGTGTGTGTGTGTGTGTGTGTGTGTGACTGTGGTGTGTGACTGTTGTGTGTGACTGTGTGTGTGTGTGTGTGTGTGTGGTGTGTGTGATGTGTGTGTGTGTGTGTGTGTGTGTGTGTGTGTGTGTGTGTGTGTGAATGACTGTGAGTGTGTGTGGGTGACTGTGTGTGCGGCAGGTGACTGTGCTTGTATGGGTGACTGTGTGTGTATGTGCAACCATTTAGTTGTACTCAGCTAGTTATGGCTGCAGGAGCCGAGTCACAGCTCCTGGCCCCGCTTCTTCACTGGCCGCTACTAGGTCACTCTTCCTGCTCCTTGAGCTTTGTCATACCTCTTTTTAAAGCTATGTATGGTTCCTGCCTCAAGACTAACATCCCAACATTCCTGTGACTCATCTGAGTCTTCAACTTTCAACTGTGACTCCTTGTTGCTGTGTCCCATCTCTGTCTCCTGTCTCTGGGAGGGAAGATGGTCGCAATGATTTATATGTTCAAATGTTTCTTAAATAACATCACATTTACCAGTGAGGTGATAAAGTAGTTGTGGTAGGAGGTCATCATACCAATCTGCTGCGCTTGTTTAAGTACGGTCAAGATGTTCTTGTGCTCGACGTCCAGAACAATGTGCGTCACTCCTGCCTTCTTGGTATCCTTTAGCATCGGTCTGAAAGTAAGAAAACCACAGGATTGAGCGGCTAGTATACAGGAATTATTGCTTCAAAAAGGCTGTGAATAGCTAATATATGGAGTGCTGTAGTTAGTTAAAAAGGTACAAAGCATTTCCTAACCTCCAATATTTTTGCCACAGTGTGAGTCAGCAATGAAATTAAGAGAGGATTCCATGATTGTCAATTCCCTGCTGGTTTTAATTCATTTAATGTCATTTGATTGGTGAGTTTCGCCATTTTTGTCAAGAGATCTGCCACTAATCGAGAAATAATTATCTCATTTTGAATTTTTTTCTTAATTTTAGGAAGTAGTATCTGAGCCATAGCTTCAATTTAACGATGAAAGTTACTCTTAAATTCCTATGCAGCAACTCAGACAGGTAAGCGGATCAATCTCAACCCACGTAAGATGAATGTTTTAAACAATCTTCAGTCAATCATAAATTCCAGGCCTCTCCTTGCTGGCTCACTCATACCAACACAACGTCAGATGACTCACTGAGCACAACATGGCTGGTGGCTTAAGCTGTCCCTTGACACAGCATAAGTCCGGGTTCGATTCCCGGCGAGGGCAGAAACATTGAGCTTGACTCATAAATGGTATGACAACATGCAATAAACATTACCCAGGCGGATTGACCGCGTCGGCTGAGTTGAGAGACTCTGACCGCGGGTTCAATCCGGCCGGGTATGTTTAACGGGAACTGGTTGCATTTCCATCAGTAAAAGGGTACTATTTAGTAGTGACGGAATGACTATTTTCAATGGTATAGTACTTTCTATAGTATGTCATTGATGTCAGCTATGGTCTGTATACCTTGTACATGTACTTGTATTAAATAAAGATATTATTAGATGACTCACTCAGTTGGGTCAGGTATTTGTTTGCATCAGGTCAGGTGTGGAACAAGCTTCTCTGTGATGCGCTACCTAAATGTTCTCTTTCGTTATATCTCCCAAAATAACAATTTGTATGTGAAATAATTACTTATCCCGCGTTGTACTTCGGTTATATGTTTTTTGAAGTGCAAAATAATGAGCAAATTTCACTAAGCAGTTTTCATTAACTATTACTTTTAATTATTATTATTGTAGTTACTTATAAAGTCATCCTTACAACAACATTTATCAACTAATTCTGCAACAAATCAAGCAACTATTGAACCTATGACTGGTGTTGCTAGTGGTAGTTTACCTGTAGTCATCATCGTAGGGAAGTTGCTTGAGGTTCACCTGCCACAAGTGGTTTTTGAGTAGCTCTTGACCCTCACGAGGCCATTATTGTTTTCGTATATGATGGTAAACTTATGCCAACCCAGCGTCTTAAGCACGTCCATGTACGCCTGTAATGGAGATTGAATAAGGACTCTGACTCGCAGTAATTTATTCTTATTTGCAAAGCTTGAAATTCTGTGTCAGAGAAAAAGAGGGAGTTACCAATAGGGATAAAGTTTAGCTTCCCTTCCACAATAATTCTTTTGGGTCATTGAGATTTATTTCAGAAGAGGGTAAAATTGTTAATGCAATTTTATATCCTTTAGTAACAGTAAAATTATATCGTCATGAAACAGCAAATTACAGAGATAATGACCTCATTTTCATCCCTGACTTATGCTGGTGACACTAATTATGGAGACTTAACGTGAAAATATTGTGAACTTTCTGAAGAACTTGATCTCATTGTTATTTTAACTGTTCAAACCATTGGCAAAGTTCGAAACTCTTCATTCTTCAAGATGTCAAATATTCCATCCTGAAGCGGAAACCTACAAGGCCTAAGCTAAAAAAGATGTCACAAACATATGCCGACTTGCTCCAGAGAATCTGGTCAAGGACTGGGCCGCGGAGCGCTGACCCTCAGGATGACCTCCAGGTACACGTCCAGGTATACTCCAGGCAGACTCTAGGTAGCACCTCGCAGGAAATTGTTACCAACATCATGCAGGTCATGCGGTCATGTTCCAGTAGTGCATTGAAGGATGCATGACCTGCAGGAAACTAATAGTGAATCGTACAGCATTTTCAGGTCCCTCCATTAAAGAATAATGTCTTAATTATCTCATTTTAGTTAGGGCCTATGATGCCAAAGTGGCTACAGTGTTCATCATATAAACAGAAATATTATCATATGTATTTTGTTCCAGGTGGCCTACATCTCAGCTGATGTGTATTTACTTTCAAGAGATAGTGATGATTTATTTGTTAACGAGAAAAGAAAAGTTGTTGGCGTGATCTTTATCAAGAGGGAACAGAGGTCAAGCAAAAAACACACAAGACTCAGGCATATTTTACTGTTCCATGCATGAGCGTAAGTAGCTGGGCAAGAAGAATATGACTTTGTCCTGTCGCCTTTCTGTTATTCTACATTCATCCCTGTAATTTGATCTTATGGAGGAGCTTCGAAATAAGGACTCCTGCGTGAGACTGTTAACGTAGCAATCATGAGATCAAGATGTGGCAAATTAATTACAGTACCATACTTGCTGCTTCGTCAGCTGCCATCGCAGGTTCAACTGGTATCGTGCCATCGGGAAGACATCGAAATATCAGGGAAAAACAACTTGAGGAATTTCTTAGTGTGACTGAAGGTAATCTCGTTACTGGTCGATAATTAACTCTGAAGACGCACTTTTATGAAACACTTCCCATTAATCGATACAGAATTAAAAAGGCAATATTTCGAAGGCATTCAGCAATGAAGGCTGAGGTCCAGTCGTCTTTGGTATCAATTGCTACGGCAGAATATCATAGTATTCTCTCAAAGATACTATTTTATGTCGTCGTGAAATGTCTAATCAAGATCTGTTCAGTTTAGAGAACTATTAGTTGTTTTACAGTCATATGTACTCTGTTCCTCATCGGTCTCATCACGTTCGGGATTCTCATGATGAGAACGTCAATAATGAGCGAAATACTCTGTCTACTGCTCAGCTCATCACTTTCAATACACAAACTCATCAAGTACTCGAGTCACCATTGCCAGTATATCTCAGACTTATCAATTATTTACTGTCTCAGAGCAAATCCCTGGTAAATTAATTATATTGTCTAAGAAACAGCGAATGTAGAATAAATATTTCAAAATGGGGACAGACAGATGGAACTGAATTACTAACATGTATAGTATGTAAGGTTATGGAGATGAGTATTAAGAGTAGTGGAACTACTGGAAACAAGGTGATTCATAAACAACCAGCACTGTTTCGTACATGGTAAATCCGGTTTCGCAAATGTGCTCGAGCGCTATAATATACTGAAAGTTTGGCAGAGGAACAGGGATATGTGGACCGCATATTTTTGTTATGCAAGTAGGAATTCGAAACAGTACCCCACAAGAAACTTATCCAAAAAAACTAGAGGAGCAAACAGGAATTACGTGAGGAGCACTACGGTGAATCAGGGAATACTTAATTAGAAGGAAACAGCAACTTACTCTCAGGAAGATGTCAAAAAAGCGAGTGTGACAAGTGGGGTTATACTTGGACCGGTACTGCTCGAGTATGTGAACGGAAGGACAGAGGAAATTCAATCAGAGGTGTTCCTGTTGGCAGATAATGTGAAACAAAGGAAAAAAAATAGAGAGGAGTAGACCAGGAAAGACTTCAAATGGACTTTTACTCCATTAAATGCAAAGTTTTGAAATAGAAGGGAAAAGACATCTGGAAACAGTACTGAGACTCAGGAAACAAAACCCTCGAGGTGAGCACAGTTTTGAGCATCTCACCTAAGGAGTCATTCCGACCTTATACACGGTATATATCAGGCCTGATATACGCCGTGTTCCATACCTGTAGCACAGGTATAGAACCCCACATCTGGTTAAGCATTAAAGCTGGAAGAAAGTGTTAATGTCTGCAACGAACCTAGTCCCTCAGCTGAGAGACTAAATGAGCTAAATCTGACAACACAAGAGGACAGAAGGACCTGGGTTGATATAATTACGACATGCAAAATACTGAGAGGAATTGACAGGGAGGATAGGTGGAATTAACAGAACAGATGAGTCACTGTGACGTTATGAAATGCTTCCTTATTCTTGGAGTGGTCAGGTAGTTAAACGGTCTAGATAGCAAAGTGGAGCTAAAATCTGTACATAGCTTTAGGAATAGGCATGATAGGGGAGTATAGTTAAAAATACACATACAGTAAAAAAGATCTTCATTAATTAGTTCGTGGTTTCATCTCTATGAGGTTACATCATGTTGAGACAGTATCAAAATTTGTGACATATATAATGAGAAATGGAGTCAGGTGTCCCGCGAGGTTGATTGTCCTAAATGGTGGGTGACCTGTCAGGTAATGTCCTGGTAACGGATGTCAGGTAACGTTTGATATGGCTTACATTTTCGATGTCTCGTCCCGGTAATTTGTGTTTTTCTTGTTCCTTTGGAATAGTTTTAGCGATAAATTGTTCTGTGTGATGGTATTAGGGACACAGTGGCTCGCGGCCTGGTGGCAGCTCTCGCTTCACACGGTGAGTATCCGGGTTCGATTCCCGGCGGGGGTGGATACATTGGGCGTGTTTCCTTACACCGGTTGTCTATGTTCACCCATTAGTAAAATGGGTACCTGGGTGTTAGTCCACTGGTGTGGGTCGCATGCTGGGACAAAAATGACCCAATATGCCCGAAATGCTCAGCATAACAAGTGGTTTTCTATATAGTAGTATGTCACTGATGTCAGCTATGGTCTGTATACCTTGTACATGTACTTGTGGAAATAAAGATATAATTATTATTAGTATTATTGTTATTAAGTGTATTAATGTGGGATACAAGCGCGATCTGTGTCTCATCCAACCTGATACGTGTATTCTCATACAACTGATACGTGTATTCTCATACAACTGATACGTGTATTCTCATACAACCTGATACGTGTATTCTCATACAACTGATACGTGTATTCTCATACAACTGATACGTGTATTCTCATACAACCTGATACGTGTATTCTCATACAACTGATACGTGTATTCTCATACAAACTGATACGTGTATTCACCCTGGAATTTGAAAATATTTTAAGGACTTTATTCTTGCAGTTGATGATGTTTTTAAAAAACTGTAAAACAGAGAAGGTTCTTGTATGTATTCTTATTCTTCCAGCAGATGTTCACAGCTACACAATATGAGGGTGAGTACACAGAACCTATTATCACTCCTCTTTTTTCCAGAAGTCATGAGGAGAGAAGTAATGGATTAGACCGACTTTATTGGTATCTTGAAGGCTTTGTACTTGACGGTGTCATGATCGCTTATTAGGAAGACGTCAAGAAAAGGTATAGATTCATTCTGTTCCTCTTCCAAAGTAAACACTTGATCGAGTTGTTCCCTGAGATTATGAAGGTTGAAACGTCTGGATGTACCTTTACTCCATAATATTGTGGAAAATGACACTGGAGAACCAGTCTCTCTCTTTAGACGGTAAAGAATGTCCAGCAACTCATCAAGAGAACCAAAGACTTAACAAACTTTTGTTTGTACAACAGGTTGAAAGTTACGCAAAATTTAACAAGGCCACTAAAGAACCTGGTCATTGGGAATAGGATTAAAAGTAGAGGTGACATCCAGGCCAGGCTAAAAAGTATCTAGTTCTTCGTGGTATTGTTCAGACGTGTGAGGAAATCGTCTGATTATTTCAGGTGTGATAAGTAATATGTCCCTAAGAGCTTAAATAAATATTTGGACAGAGCAATGTCAATTTCAAAAGTGATGGGTTGTATGCTTTTTAATATTTGCTGTCTGTGTTTGGAGGGCAGCAGGGAACAACGATTCCCTCTTGGTGTTGCAGAGAGTATCTCTTGGTGTCTGTAGAGGAAAGTTTCTATGTCGTACGGGCTCGTCGGCATCAGACTAGTCTCGTAAGTCCTGCATTTACACTTGAAAGTTATTTTTAAGTATTACACCCCTTCTCGCTTATTAATTTTTTTTGTATTAACACATCGGCCATCTCCCACCAAGGTAGGGTGGCCCGAAAAAGAAAAACTTTCATCATTCTCTCCATCACTCCAGGACATATTGGGACATTACGACTCCTCACCACTGAAATCTGAATTGTGGTACTATGACCAAGCAGTGACAGGAATTCCAGAACATCAGACGAACACCCCACCCAGGATAACCAACACCATTTTTTCTAAAACATCATCAGAAGACCATCTGGGCATAAGATACCCCTGTCCCAACATCCTACTGGAACTACAGAGGCCAATTTTTATTTTATTTATAATTAAAACTCTGAAAAATGTCATAATTATTTTCATTCAAGTTATTCATCATTTATTTTTTCACTCTTTTGTACAGGCTGAGATAGGCGAGTCGTTTTTGAGTGATAAAAAAAAGGAAAATTGAAAAATTATGGAAAAAATATTTCCTTACTTAAAAATAGTGCTTAATTCTGGCAACATGTTGATGTAATTAGCTTATTTTTTATGTATTTTTTTTGTTCTTGCTGTCATCAAAATACATGATGGCAATTCATGTGTTTTTTTTTACTCCAAAAATTATGATTTTTATGATTGTTTCATTCAAAATACACCACACTGCAACTTCTCTGAGGATTTCATTCAAATTTAGGGAGCGATAGCAGCTCCGTCGCCTGTGGGGGTGTGCAGCATACTGAAATGTGGCGCGCCATCACCATAGAGTTTTACAGAAAACATAATATTATGTAACTCAGGAATAAGTTATTGATGTTATTTTCCATTTTTAGCAAAATATATTTATAGGAGTGTCATGAGGTTTGTACACTTTATTGAGTAATGATGGTGCTACTAGCCCCATTGGGGATTTGAGATATTTTTTGCCGTTTTTTTTTTCTCCCCCAGAAATCCTTAAAATAATAAACTACCACATTTTTATTTTACAATCTATTAACATTTTCGCTCAAGCAACGTTGGTACCAAGATTATCTGCCCCTTATCTTTCATCTGATGTCAACTAGATCATTGTACATCTTAGCAATTTTGTAGATTAGGGAGAGTTTTATGCCCCACAGAATAGGGCACTATATATTTTTTTATCTTTTAAGGCAAAAAGTCACCATAAACACAGTGTGTAAGCTTAAATCACTATAAAACTTTCATTGAAATTGGACCATAAAGAAAAAAACAAATTATTTTGCTGGCTCATCACTGAAGACTGGGATAGCCAGAGCACAAGTGATGCTCTCTGACTCTTTCTGACAAGCAAACACAATCTGTAATGAATTTTTTTCTTCAGCTAATTTTTTTCACTATACAACAAAAACTAAGTTTACCATAATTAATGCAGTTTAAAATAAGCTCATTTACTAAACCTAAGTAAGTAGATACATAAATAAAATACATTGTTTTGCTTGGCGAACTAATTCTTCGGGTGACCATGAACGTGTAGTGTTATCTGGTATGTCGTTGAGGTGATTAATTTAACAGTAGACATCCATAAAGTGGCCGACGAAATGTGATCAGTCACGAGGGAGCCTTCACCAAATTCTACTTCAATAGCAAAAACATAAGGTGGGACCAAGTAAACTAAGTTCTAACTGGGAAGAAACACGGATCCCAACTTATGTCTAGAACAAATTAACTCTGTAACACTCGAGGTATGCTCAAGGCAGAGAAAGAGAAAGTCGCTCCCTATATAGGCGAAGGCAAAGAATAACACAGCGACTAAAAGAGACCAATAAATCATACCCCCGGCCGGGATTGAACCCGCGGTCATAGAGTCTCAAAACTCCAGCCCGTCGCGACGGGCTGGAGTTTTGAGACTCTATGACCGCGGGTTCAATCCCGGCCGGGGGTATGATTTGTTTGCAATCGTGTCATTACGATTTCTTGAGTCAGAGACCAATATATCTACAGTACATAGACAGACACTAGTCAGAGAAATATCAAACATGGAACTGAAGCTAGAGGAATCTTATAGGAGTCAAGAAACACGAGAAGAACTAAAAGCCATAAACGAAATTGAAAGAAACCCAAAGTATTTCTTTTCTTATGCCAAATCAGTCTAGAACATCCAGTATTGGGCTCCTACTTACAATAATATCTTTATTCAAGTACATGTACAAGGTATACAGTCCTAGCTGACATCAGTGACATACTACTATATAGAAAACCCCTAGTTATGCTGAGCATTTTGAGCAAATTAGGTCAGTGTCCCAGGATGCGACCCACACCATCCGACTAACACCCAGGTACCCAAGTTACTGATGGGTAAACATAGACAACAGGTGTAAAGAAACATGCCCAATGTTTCTACTCTAGCTGGGAATCAAACCCAGACCCTATCCTGGTGGCTATAGCGAGACCTATAGCCACCAGGCCACCAGAGCCTGCACAGATGACAGCAAGGAAATGAGTAAGCTTCTTAAGTCCCAATATGACTCGGTTTTTAGCGAGCCGCTAAGCAGACTGAGAGTCGAAGACCTAAATAAATATCTAGTAAGAGACAGAATTTGATAGACACACACCTATCTGATGTTATCCTGACGCCAAATGACTTCGAAAAGGCGATAAATGACATGCCGATGCACTCTGCCCCAGGCCCAGACTCGTGGAACTCCGTGTTCATCAAGAACTGCAAGAAGCCCCTATTATGTGCTTTCAACATCTTATGGAGAGAGAGCATGGCCACAGGGGCCATCCCATATAGACCCACTCCATTAAGGGGGCAGGAAAGCAATAGCAAAGAACCACAGGCTGATAGCGCTAACGCTCCATATCATAAAAATCTTTGAAAGGGTTCTAAGAAGCAAGATCACCACCCATCTAGATACCCATCAGTTACACAATCCCAGGAAGCATGGGTTTAGAGCAGGTCGCTCCTGTCTGTCCCAACTACTGGGTCACTATGACAAGGTCCTGGATGCTCTAGAGGACAGATGTAATATAGACTGACTTTGCAAAAAGCCTTTGACAAGTGTGACCATGGTGTAATAGCGCACAAAATGCACGATAAAGGAATAACAGGAAAAGTTGGTAGATGGATCTATAATTTCTAACAAACAGAACACAAATAATAGTGTAAAGAGTAAAGTCTGAGGCGGCTACGATGAAAAGCTCTGTTCCACAAGGCACAGTACTCGCTCCCATTTTGTTACTCATCCTCAAATCTGACATAAACAGGGATATAAGCCACAGCGCCTTGTCTTCCTTAGGGTGACACCCGAATTTGCATGACAGTGTCCTCCCCTGGCGACACCGCAAGACTCCAGGCGGACATCAACCAAATCTTTAAATGGGCTGCAGAAACCAATACGAAATTCAATGATGAGAAATTTCAATTACTCCAATATGGAAAACGTGAGGAAATTAAAACTACATCGGAGTATAAAACAGATTCCAAGCACACAATAGAGCGACAAACTAATGTAAAAGACCTGGAAGTGATCATGTCGGAGGATCTCACCTTCAAGGACCATAACATTGTATCAATCATATCTGCTAGAAAAATGACAGGATGGATAATGAGAACCTTCAAAACTAGGGATGCCAAGCCCATGATGACACTCTTCAGGTCGCTTGTTCTATCTAGGCTGGAATATTGCTGCACTCTAACAGCACCTTTCAAGGCAGGTGAAATTGCTGACTTAGAAAATGTACAGAGAACCTTCACGGCACACATAAGTGCGATAAACCACCTTAATTACTGGAAACGCTTGAAGTTCCTCAACCTGTACTCCCTAGAACGTAGGCGGGAGAGATACATTATTATATACTCTTGGAATATCCTAGAAAGATTAGTACCAAACTTGCACACGAAAATCACTCACTACGAAAGCAGAAGACTCGGCAGACGATGCAACATCCCCTCAATGAAAAGCAGGGGTGTCACTAGCACGTTAAGAGACAACACATTAAGTGTCAGAGGCCCAAGACTGTTCAACTACCTCCCAGCATACATAAGGGGGATTACCAATAGACCCTTGGCTGTCTTCAAGAAGGCACTGGACGGGCACTTAAAATTAGTACCTGACCAGCCGGGCTGTGGTTCGTACGTCGGGTTGCGTGCGGCCAACAATAACAGCCTGGTTGATCAAGGCCTGATCCACCATGAGACCTGATTACAGACCGGGTCGCGGGGGCGTTGACCCCCGGAACCCTCCCCAGGTATACTCCAGGTATTTAGACGCTCAAAAACTCACCCTCTACAGGACAATATGCTACATTTATCATATAGAGTATTATTTAATTTATTCCCATATTTTTATCCTGGGGATCAGAATGCTCAACTAATAACAATATTGGTCACTGAAACCATGTAAAGAAAATACTTTTAATGTTAGGCATCTGTCTCAACTTATAAATTACTATTGGACATTTCCAATAAAATAATTAAGTTAATTCATGTTAACCTATCAGGAAAAATATAGCTCTGAGAAGACTTTACCTTTGATAAAGTTGATGGATGGGGATATAGATTGACGGAATAAGCGTCTCGGGAAAGCCTGAAGTCCCATCGGTTTTCTATGTGAGGTATCTCCAGCGCGTCACAGATGGACTGAACGTGGTCAGAAGTTTGGCCGGACTGAGGTCCGAAGATAGCTGCAACTCCAGTATTGAGCAGTGAACACACTGTCGGAAAGACAGTAGAGAGCAGTTACAATGCATCACGTTTGTTCATAACAGAATTAGATGTAAGGGTAGTTAGTGATTGTAGCTTTTAGTTGAATATATATTGGTTAATGGCTAGTGTGTGGCTGCTGACTGAAGTGTGGAAACACTGAATAACTCTAAATGCAAAAGACATTTATATATATTCTTGAAGAAACTTGTAGCTTAGTTACATTAATGTTTTTATATACGTAAAAACGATGATATTTTACTAAAAGAACTTTATGTTATAACACTTTGTTCGCAACTTTACAAAACACGTAAATAATTAACATTAGAAAACCTGTAGTTTTTTCCTGTAAGGTTATAATAAACTTTACCTAAGAAGTTTGGTACAGTTTTGCCTTCAAAAGGTACTCTGGATGGTGAACATCTATAAGCAAAGTCTGAAGCTTTCTAGATTACTACAACGATACATGAGATGATCGACACCATGTTTAACCCTTCTAGGGTAGGGTAGGTGCCTGAGCCCGAGCCTTTAGCTCATAAGACTGCCATTCCCATTTGCCCCCTTGGGGGGGGATGGCAGACCAGAGAGGCCTAGCTTGTGGCTAGGCCTGGGGACAGTTGGTCCCAAAGATGATAAGGTACTTGTGCCTCCTCCCATGGGAGACTTAGGTCTCAGACACTCCCTAAAGAGGGAGCCAAGGCCGGGCCACCACTTGGAAAAGGCCCGGGCCGGGAGAATACCGGCTAATCTTTAATAAAATAATAATAAGATACATGAGATGAATGATATTCCTTCTAGCCAGTAGGCGAAATAGTCATTTTCTCCTGTGAACTGATCAGAGATCTGTAACTTCTGTCCAGGAGGCAAGAAGTGAACTAGTTCAAAACCCCAAAATTATGTTTCCCCATTAAGTTAGTCTTTTTTTCATGATCCCAACGCTATCAAGGCAATCAAAGGGATTGCTTGAACATTATGACCCATTCGCTATTCAGCAATAATGCTCAAAACAGCTGAGAACAGCACAGCATCAGGCATGGAACAAGGAGATAAAACTGACCCTAGCTTGGGGGCCATCGACAAATCGTCCCAGAAAGCGTAAAACTCCCATTTTACCGAAACTTAATTCAGTAATTCCAAACCCCTGACTACAATGTTGCATAGATGCCAGAATATAGGTCGAGAGTTAACTTGGGATCAGAGATATAGTGTCTCACGACACAAAACCTCTGGAAACGTAAAATATCACTACATCTAAATAATGCTCCTTGAACAGAGTTGCATAGAATTATGAGCAGCAAGTCCCGGCTCACCAAAGTAGACATTACCAAAAGCAGTCTACATAACACGAGCTGACAGTAGATATGTTTCTTCCATAAGTAGCAGCAAGAAAAGGGAAGCAGGGATTTTAGATACAGTGTTAGGTTACTTGTAATAGCTTGAGTCTGGCATGAACTGCTAAACAAGTGGGCAGGTAATTAGCAGTGTTGGCAGCCAATCAAAATTCTCCAACAGTGAGCACAACGAGAGATGTAGTTTTTACATCCTACCTACCTACATACATATGCTGATAATGCATAAAAATAATATAATCATGAAATTTTCATTGCTGATGGAAATATCAACAATATAAAATTATATGAAAGAGCTATATATACAAAATATTTATTGTGTCCTTTTGAGCGTGCACAACATTTCATTTCTCATCACATTGTTAAATGCTCCAAACCTCAGAACACTCCTTACTTTACCCGATTTTTTTTCTCCTCTCCCTACCTCTTATCCTTTCCTATTTGTTTCCTTTTCTTCATTCTTTTTCTTTTCTTCTGCCCAAGTGTGTTTTGTCCAACAGTTTTTCTCCTCTTTCTTTTTGGTCCTTCCTCCTGTGGGCCCTTAGCTCTCCCGTAGTGCTCCTTTTTTTTGTCCTTAGACTTTTCCCACCTCTACTACTACAACGACTACCACTCCATTACAACGACTTTTGCTACTTCCACTACTATTGCTTCCGTTCACTCCTCTTGCTTCTCTTGTTCCACTAAAACTACTCTTCCTATTTTCTGCTATCACTATTTCTTTCGCTACCAGCATCACCACTACCAATACTTCTTTGTCATCCTCTCTTTGTCCCGTCCCTGTTTCCCTCGCCTGTATATAATATAAGTCCTTCATTGTGTTACTTAAATTAGTTGAACTTGACAGAAACTGCGTCGTAAGCTGCTTCTCAATATGCAGGTTATTCTTATTAGGACTTTCGTCAGCATAGATTTTACATAAACTGTCACAATTACTGATTAAGTCAGCTTTTACCAATATAAGGGTAGATATTATTGTTTACTTTGAAAATTCTGATCAGTGGTGGCGAACACATGCACAGGATATATAATTCCTTGTATAGCGTAATAATCCGATGTTTCTGAGCTTGTGTTACATTAGCCTCAGAATATGTTCTGTAATAGCTCATTTATTCAACAAAAAAGGTAAATTGTGCACTACATAGAATGTCCTTTGGTCTGCCATTTTCTAGCGGGCATTACACAACTTACCAGTATGTAATTTCGGGTAAACTATTTGATCAGTCAACATAATCAAAAGTTCCTGCATTAATAATATCTTGCAACTTTGATACCCATATACAGCTCAAGCTTCCGCATCCATAAACCCAGATTTGCATCCAATAAACCATACTTCGTGCTATCCCAGTAACCTAACTCTGACCTAAACCACATATCAGACATCATAAAGCTCCAATATTCTTGCATGCCATATAACCATACTTCTGCATCTCCATAATACTCAATATCCTAGCATCCAGTAAATTTCCAATTCCTGCATCTACATAAACCCAACTTCTATGATCCATAAACCCAACTTCCTGCATCAGATAAACCCAACTCCTGCATCACCAATATAAACCCAATCTTCCTGCACATAACCTATTCCTGCATCCATAAACCAACTTCCTGCATTCCCATAAACCCAATTCCTTGTCATCCATAAACCCAAATCTCCTGCATCCATAAACCCAACTTCCTGCATCCCATAAACCAACTTCCTGCATCCCATAAACCCAACTCCTGCATCCCATAAACCCAACTTCCTGCATCCCATAAACCCAACTTCCTGCATCCCATAAACCCAACTTCCTGCATCCCATAAACCCAACTTCCTGCATCCCATAAACCCAACTTCCTGCATCCCATAAACCCAACTTCCTGCATCCCATAAACCCACTTCCAGCATCCCATAAACCCAACTTCCTGCATCCCATAAACCCAACTTCCTGCATCCCATAAACCCAACTTCCTGCATCCCATAAACCCAACTTCCTGCATCCCATAAACCCAACTTCCTGCATCCATAAACCCAACTTCCTGCATCCCATAAACCCAACTTCCTGCATCCCATAAACCAACTCCTGCATCCCATAACCCAATCTTCCTGCATCCCATAAACCCAACTTCCTGCATCCCATAAACCCAACTTCCTGCATCCCATAAACCCAACTTCCTGCATCCCATAAACCCAACTTCCTGCATCCCATAAACCCAACTTCCTGCATCCCATAAACCCAACTTCCTGCATCCCATAAACCCAACTTCCTGCATCCCATAAACCCAACTTCCTGCATCCCATAAACCCAACTTCCTGCATCCCATAAACCCAACTTCCTGCATCCCATAAACCCAACTTCCTGCATCCCATAAACCCAACTTCCTGCATCCCATAAACCCAACTTCCTGCATCCCATAAACCCAACTTCCTGCATCCCATAAACCCAACTTCCTGCATCCCATAAACCCAACTTCCTGCATCCCATAAACCCAACTTCCATGCATATCCCATAAACCCAACTTCCTGCATCCCATAAACCCAACTTCCTGCATCCCATAAACCCAACTTCCTGCATCCCATAAACCCAACTTCCTGCATCCCATAAACCCAACTTCCTGCATCCCATAAACCCAACTTCCTGCATCCCATAAACCCAACTTCCTGCATCCCATAAACCCAACTTCCTGCATCCCATAAACCCAACTTCCTGCATCCCATAAACCCAACTTCCTGCATCCCATAAACCCAACTTCCTGCATCCCATAAACCCAACTTCCTGCATCCCATAAACCCAACTTCCTGCATCCCATAAACCCAACTTCCTGCATCCCATAAACCCAACTTCCTGCATCCCATAAACCCAACTTCCTGCATCCCATAAACCCAACTTCCTGCATCCCATAAACCCAACTTCCTGCATCCCATAAACCCAACTTCCTGCATCCCATAAACCCAACTTCCTGCATCCCATAAACCCAACTTCCTGCATCCCATAAACCCAACTTCCTGCATCCCATAAACCCAACTTCCTGCATCCCATAAACCCAACTCCCTGCATCCCATAAACCCAACTTCCTGCATCCCATAAACCAACTCCCTGCATCCCATAAACCCAACTTCCTGCATCCCATAAACCAACTCCCTGCATCCCATAAACCCAACTTCCTGCATCCCATAAACCCAACTCCTGCATCCCATAAACCCAACTTCCTGCATCCCATAAACCCAACTCCCTGCATCCCATAAACCCAACTTCCTGCATCCCATAAACCCAACTCCCTGCATCCCATAAACCCAACTCCCTGCATCCCATAAACCCAACTCCCTGCATCCCATAAACCCAACTTCCTGCATCCCATAAACCCAACTTCCTGCATCCCATAAACCCAACTTCCTGCATCCCATAAACCCAACTTCCTGCATCCCATAAACCCAACTCCCTGCATCCCATAAACCCAACTCCCTGCATCCCATAAACCCAACTCCCATGCATCCCATAACCCATCTTCCTGCATCCCATAAACCCATCTCCTGCATCCCATAAACCCAACTCCCTGCATCCCATAAACCCAACTCCTGCATCCCATAAACCAATTCCTGCATCCCATAAACCCAACTCCCTGCATCACCATAAACCCAACTTCCTGCATCCCATAAACCCATCTCCCTGCATCCCATAAAC